CAGACTATGCCCCTTTCTTTACTCCATATGATCGGTTGGACCCTAAAAGACAACGGACTGCATAAATTTTGTGGATAGCTTTTCCTCGGATTACCCGATGTCGAAGTTAGATATTTGATATTTTTGTAGGGGTATTGTATTTTTTGAAACCACCACGCCGGCTGACCTAAAGTTTGCCTTGGGATAGTTGGGAACCCTTAAAAGTTCGATGCCTGATAAATTATCTTGATGCCAGGGATTACATTTTGTACTTCTAAACTTATATTATTATAAATACTGGTTTAAAGTTTGTGATGTGGTTTCTAAAATGCTAAAAGGTGTAAGAAGCATTCACTGAATAATGCTGTTTGTAGTTGTGGTTATTGATATGCATTATATTTGGGGCTATTTATATCTAATGCTCTATGTCATGTTTTTGATATCCTTTCTGGCTCAGCGTAGACTAATCACATTGCTTTCTCTCAACTCTCAAGGCTCGTAAAATTGAAAAATCTTTCAATTTTTTGAAGGGAAAATGGAAACTAATAATCCAACCTTTTAGCGGTCTTCTTACAATAGTCCCACCTTTTTGTTATTCAAGAATAATCCAACCTTTGCACCCTATCTTCATTCGTTGGTCCCTAACCGGTTCATGACCTGTTATTCCAAGTTATTTTCTTATCTTTGCAAAATATTATCTTTGTGAAAAGTGAGATTTATGGTATAATGGTTTGCAAAGATAAGAAAATAACTTGGAATAGCAGGTCATCAACCGGTCAGGGACCGTTGAATGAAGATGAGGTGCAAAGGTTGGATTATTCTTGAATAACGAAAATGTGAGACTATTGTAAGAAGACCGCTAAAAGGTTGGATTATTAGTTTCCATTTTCCCTTTTTTTGAATCATCTCTCTACAATACGTCCGTATTGAGAACTAATCCCTCAATTTTATAGTAGCTATCCTTGATGATACAAATATCTTATTTTGTAGTTTGAGGATTTTCTGTGGAAACCGAATATAGTCTCAACCAGCTTAAGGGTGTGTTTGGATCTGATTCTTAAAACTGTTTTTGCTCCTTCAAGGAGAAGAAGTTGGAGTGCTTGGGTGGAAATGCAAAAGTACATATGGTGCCCCAATCTACTCCTACAATCAGTTTTTTAGAAGTTGGGGGAGACTAGCTTTTGGAAACTGATTTTGCTCTGCTTCTGCTTCTTTTCAAAACACCCCCTAAATCTTATTTTCTTTTGCACTAGTTTTTTTCATTAATTATTTACTACATTAGCTCTTGTCTCCCATGTGGCTGAAGTCACATGAACAATTGTACATTAAATTCTCTTTCATTAATAAAATCCTTTCATTGTCTTAAAAAAAATACAAATATCTTTTCGGTTTTTTTTTCCACTTAAAATTCCTCCCTTTGCGCAGGGGCGAAGCCGGGGGGTCAGGGTGGTCAGCCGACCCCGCTGAAAGTTTGAGAGTATAGAGCTCTGAAATATCTTCGATTTGATACATTATGGATCCTGTAACTCATTACGAGTAAAAAGTTATGACTTCTGGAAAATCAGCACCTTCTAAATGTAAAATAAGGAAAATTTGATGCATAATATTGATTATTTTTTCAAATTTTAAAACTAATGTATAATTAACTCATTACTCGCGTGACATGATTCAGAAACAGAGCAAAGACAATCTATCTTATTGCTTATGAATGTCTATTTATCTAAACTACAAATGATACATTCAACTCGGACATTGTCTCAAAACGATCTACCATTTTCATTTTATACATAATTGATTTTCGACCCCCTGACCCATTTTCTGGCTCCGCCACTGCCTCTGCGTGCTGTTTTTTTTGGGTGTTTTCCCTCAAGAGTTTGAAGGTTCAAATCGGTAGGAATTACTCTGTACAAATGAACATCAGACCCAGACTTCTTTTAGAAATTTTGTAAGTATGTTAAAAAAGTTAGGGAAAACTGTCAAATAGGTCCCCGAACTTTCATAAAAAAGTCAATTAAGTCCTTCTGTAGGAGTTTCTGTCCGGCCGTCGCGATTTGGGGCAGTTCCCAGTGGAATTTTTTGATGAATTTTTTTGAGCATCTTATTCACCAAGTCTAGTTTACTCATACCAAATTTCAGCTAAAAATTCAATCGGGAACACATTCAAATTAATTCTTGAAGATAACTGCACATTTTTGCGTTCTCGAATTAATTTGAATGTGTTCCCGATTGAATTTTTAGCTTAAATTTGGTATGAGTAAACTAGACTTGGTGAATAAGATGCTCAAAAAATTTCATCAAAAAAATCCACTGGGAACTGCCCCAAATCGCGACGGCCAGACAGAACCTCCTATAGAAGGACTTAATTGATCTTTTTATGAAAGTTCGAGGACCTATTTGACAGTTTTCCCAAAAAGCTAAGATTTGAATAGAAATCTTAGGGTATGTTAAAAAAAGCTAAGATTTGAATTCCAATTAGTTGGGAACAATATTACAGTAAGACATTATTCAATTTGTTTAGATCACTCACCAGTCACCACTGCTCTTGGATGTGGATGCGCTGGGCTATGTGGGATCCATATGCCAATTTTAGTTGATGGTCAAAATTCAATGAGGATGATAGCAAGAGAGAAATAAGAATAAATCACACCCATGAAATGATATACGAAGTATCTACGGTACTGATTGAGTTTTGGATGGCGGCATTAATGAAAATAGGTAAAACTTTGGACAACTAATGGTCATAGTTCACATTAACCTAATAGAAAAAAATGAAAAATCATAAATTAAATACTACACCGTATTAATATTTCAGTATCCACGGACCATTTGGGATATCCCAAACAAAACTATTAATTTTCAGTATCCATTTGTGTGATTAAGATTCATTTACTTTTTTACTCAATCATAATCATACATTTTCACTTTATTTCCACCTTATTAGCCGATCCAATTTCCAAGTTAAGTGACAAGTATTTTTTGGAATGGATGAAGTGCCCGTTTGGTAGCCTAGTTCTCCGGGTTATCAGACTTATCAGCGAACTCTTTCAGCAAAGACGCAATTTTTTATTTCGCGTGTTGAATTGCGTGATAATAAGAAAAGGTAAGATTGAAATTATTTTTCTAGCTGTATTGGCTGAAATTACCGTAGAAGATTAATTTAGCTATCTTTACATATATCTTCTTCTTTTTTTATTAATAAAATATATTTTAAATATAATTTTTTTAATAAAATCGGCAGAAACAACCAATTCAGCAACTTCAACCAGAATCTCATAAATTTCAGTAGAATCAGCCTGTCAACATATTTTTTTAAAATAAAAAAATATATGACATTTATTTTGGGACTAGTCAAAAAAGAAAAAAAAAACAAGTAAAATGGGATGTATGTAATAATAATCTTAGTAATATTGGAGTTTCATTTAAAAATCTAGGTTACTTTCATAAATTCGAAAAGTAATCACTCAAAATTCATTTTATTCAATTTCAAACAATTTTTTTGGAAAGGAAACTGACATATTATATTAAATCAAAATCCTCGGTGTGTGACTGAGAAAATAATACATCCGAGCAACAAACAAAAGCCCTAACCAACATTAACCATAAGCCCGTCGGCCCCCTCAGGTCTTGATCAGACATACCCAAAAGAGCGAGACTAATTGTTGAGCTTGTGAGAGCTTCGAGACTATTAACGGCTGAGCCAGCCTGATTGCCTCCAAACAAAAACTTACCAACTAGAATAAACCAAACAACGCACCTACCGCCATTATAAAATAACAACAAAACAAGAAATAGAAATTAGAAAATAGCACAAGTAAATAATCTTTGAGTGCTGGACCAGTTGAAACCGTCCTTCAAGTATCTTCTTCCAATCCCTAAATTCACAAATATGTTGTGGCGGTGATTTAGGAGGGGGTCGAATCAACACCACTTCTTACTCTTCCTTGCACACTTGTACCGAGTATTCTCCATTCTCATTCATCAGTCTATCTATCGTTAGGTGATCTCTGCCCATGGCTAGGTGAGTCGCCCCTTTCACCGGGGCCCAAATCGCCCTTGATCCTCCTGGATCAAACACCTTCGGTACCACTGCCATCTTAGACACCAATAAAACCAAAATTGTCGAGACAAACAACGGAAAATGAAGCCTCAACATTGTTGCTCCGCTGGAACGCGCAAATAGCACCCCTGGGATGAATCTTCTATCTTTCTCAAGGCCATGATGCAGCTCTAACGCAACCTTGTTCCCGGATCTTCCTTTGCCTACCCCTGGATTGGACCCGGATGAGAATAGATCCCTCACCACTGTTCGAGATCTAGCGCCACCGATGAGACCGTAAAACAAATCGTCGAGCGATAGTGAAAAACCGCCGGCCCCAAAGCTAACGCCGAGCGGCCCGAGCGATTGTGAAAACCGCCGGCCCCAAGTCTAACGCCGAGCGATTGCAAAAGCCACCGGCCCTAAACCTCTCGCAGTTAGCTACTACATGACTAGTCAATTTTATCAATTATGTACAACCTTTCTACAATTTTATACAGAGTACAAAGTATAATTTTATGGATTTAGGATTTAACCCACTATTCAAATTAGGGATGGCCCAGGTCCAGTCCGACTGGCCCGGGAATCGGCCCGGCCCGCCACTGTGCGGGACCGGTCTGGACCGGTTAACCGGGACCGTTTCCAGGCCTAGGATCGGCCAGGGGGATTGTCGGGGGCAGGCTCAGGCTTAAGAACCATTGGAACCAGCCTTGGCTCAATTTTTTTTTTCCAATTCTTTTTGGGGTAGGCGGGTTAGGCTGTGTGTTTTGGGGGGGAGTCTGGGGGCCGGGGGGCGGGTTAGAAGTAATTAGAAAATCTATAATAAAAAAACCACCCGACCCGAGCCTGGTCCAGGTTGATCCCGAGCCAGTTCCGGGCCTTTCCCCACAACAAAAAAAACCTGGTTTGGACCGGCCCGGAGCCCATCCCGGAACCGGTCCATGCCTAATTCAAATAGATTTTTTCGGTGTAGAATCATAAAACCCGCAATTTTATGATTTTACAAACAAAATAGAGATTTTAAGCGTCTTCCTTCAAGTGAATATAACAAACCAAAAATTACAGCGACAATAAGGGAATTAATTTGGTGCACAAAATAAGGGAGGACATTGATGTAACGAGAGTCTGATTTTACAAAACATAACACCAAATTAGAAAGATTGCCAAAACAAAAATAAATTAAACATGAAGAGTGCAAGAAGGCCCATGCAATTTCCAGAAACGTACGGTTCTCAAACTTAGTTGTGGTTCTTCAGATCCTCCGCATCCGACCATCCCAGTATGCATCAACTAACCATGAAGATTACAATATATGTCAACCTGACAAAAAAATCAACAGAAAACTTTTAATACTCCGTATTATTAGTTTTAAATCAAATGCAAAAATAAAATAAACCTAGGTTATACGTAGTATTTAAATGACCAAACAAGTCAAGGTTGCTAATTGACATAAGTTTATTGGAGACTACAATATTACACCAAGTATATGATAAACACCCTGTAATATATATACTCCATATACTTACATAGAAACTAAGAAATACCTGGAGAGAGTTTTTTGGACTTCAATATGTGCACAAGTTGTTTAACATGTTCGCCACACTCAATCGTCTCACCTTTACCATCACCAAGAACAACAGGTTTATCAAAATTAGTTGTGAGGTTATTCATTTGAAGGGTTCTTTCGGACATAGTCTCCCAATTATTTTGACATTTCACGTCAAAACGAGTTGGATCAAAGGTCGGAAAAGTACCATCATCATTAAGTTGGGAAATTTCAGAGACTTTGTTTTGAAACTTTTTCAGCCTTATACATTCAGGAATCATTTGAATGAAGAATAAAAAGCCTCGGGCTATTAAGTAATCTCTTTTACGGTCATTTTTGTTCAACCCACAAAGCTCACAAATGTAGGAATTAAAAGTAGCGAAACTTAGAGAAAGACTCATCCTATTAGTAGTAATAAGATTTGCCTGCCTTTCAAGATGGCCATAAGAAGCTGGGAAACCGATTTGATGAATATCAAAGGACTTATACTCTTCGGATGAAAAAATTTGTTTCACGAGACTCAAGCTAACATCCTTGAAATACCATACACAGTTGTTTGAAGCAAATGCAATTAAATACACATCGCTTTTCTTAACAAGTACTTTGATAGAAAAGTTTCCCCATACCAACTTAACAAAAAAAATTAAATAATTGTTCAAGTCATACTCTGCATCCTGACGGGTTATGGGAATTTCTAAGTGGGTTTCAGATGTCAATAGGGTTAAGCACGTTTCTATGAAGTTTTCGTAGTAGGATGCATCAAGAAAGTCGGAGTTAAACACTATTTCTTCAAATTCATGGAGAGGGTGAGAAGAAGCAGACGAAGATGAAGAAGAAGGATGGTGGGGGCGAGACTTTGAAGGCTTGGGCTTTGACTTTGACTTAGAAGAAGAAGAAGACATGAACGTAATCTTAGAGGAGCTTACTAGCTGTGAGAAGAAAAAAGGGATCTGTTTTATAAATGAAACAAGCTAAGTAAACAAACAAAAACTAGCAAGCAACTAAGCAAGCAGTATAATGGATGCATATACCTGCAGCTGGCTGCTGGCTTTGATGATTTCGATCCGAAAGTGGTATGCTCGAAGCTCTGAAAACTGAAATTGATTTTCCTGAGCTGATCCTTTGTTTTACACTAGAATGGCAATGAAAAAGCTCCAGAAGGAGATGCTTTAATGAAGTGTGAGCAGATATATATATGTAGCGTGTAAACATGAGTAAGAAGTAGTACTGGTTACCCATAATCCGTACTTAGCTAGCTGCGGGTCTACGCTGGTTATTCATTACCCTACCCGTAGCTTGTTTATCGACCTCATTATTATCGATCTCAGGGTCTTGTACTCTTATCCGTTGGTACTCCATATTCTAGAGATAAGGGTCAGATAAGGTCTCGAACTTGAAAAAAAATGTCAAATAAGGCCATATTTAGGATATTCTGTCCGGCCGACGCCATTTGGGGTGGTTCCCGGTAGAATTTTTTGATGATATTTTTTGAGAATCTTATTCATTAAGTCTACTTTACTCATATCAAATTTGAACTAAAACTTTAATCGGGAAGACATTCAAATGAATTCTTGAAGATAACTGTACCGTTAAAAGCGCAGTTATCTTCATGAATTCATTTGAATGTCTTCCCGATTGAATTGTTAGTTCAAATTTGATATGAGTAAACTAGACTTAATGAATAAGATTCTCAAAAAATTTCATCAAAAAATTCCACCGGGAACCACCCCAAATGGCGTCGGCCGGACAGAGCATCCTAAATATGGCCTTATTTGACATTTTTTTCAAGTTCGAGGCCTTATCTGACCCTTATCCCCATATTCTATTAAAAAAAACAAATTTGCTCTTTGTACCCACCCATTGTACCCAACCCTATACACACTACAATTATCCAAAAAAATTACCCCCTCTTTTCCCCTCCCCCCCTTTTCCCCGCACCTCACCCGCGTAACTCACTTGCTCTTCCCCTTTCTTGAAAATCAAAACACCTGCCGACCACGACCACTTCCCCATACTCCTCTCCTGATCTGAGAAAAAGGTCGATTCAGTACCTGAAGTCGAGCCCGGTGGAGTAAAGAGTACATGTTCTTGAAAATCAGTTTAAATGGTACATCGTTTGGCTGTTTTAGAGCCGAAATAGTACTTAGGGTACAGACCTACGTTATTTATGTTGATGTGGCTAACGGAATACTGACCTGGAATAAAAAAAATGACACCTCATCCGTTAACTGAGTTTATGGTGTACAAACCCTAACCATGACCTTGTTACCCTCAACATTACGCCAACACTTAACGAAAATCAGCACTGAGCATGGCTTCCGAAGCTTATAGAGGTGAAGGGGAAGGACGAACTGAAGCAGTAATCATGGAAAACACGAATCAAAGGTATGAATACGTTGCTCATCTATGTGTAATCTATGAGTGTATGTAAATTTCTATTCTGTAAGTATTGTATTTCGTTTTTTACATATAAGTTAGAGAAAGGGCACGAAGTATTTACTTTTAAACGGTACACCATTATAGGGACCATTTATGCACTTATTAAATGGTTTTTCTTTGTTAATGAATTTGGTATTTATGACTGTATGTGTAGTCCAACTACCCGCACAGGCTTTGACAGTGGGGTGCAGGAGGCGGTTGTTAATATTGGATTTGAAGATCCAGGGGTAGAGGCAGAAGCTAATCTGCTTTTCGAAGAGGACTTCAATTCAGAAAACGAAGATGATGAGGAATTGCTCCATGGGAGATTGCTGCTAAAAAACTTGTCACCAAACGAAAGAGTGTTGCTAGAGGAAAGGAAAAGGTAATTCAAAAAGGGACATATGAGGATGGTGATGATAATGACACTGATTATTTCACTTCATCTGATGAGGGAAGTTACAAATCTGGGTCAGATGGAGAAGAAGAGGGGAGTTTGAGAACAAAGTCAAGATTTCCTACTTTCAAACTAGATGACAAGGTGGAGTTCAGGTTGGGTATGAGTTTTGAGTCAAAAGCTGAAGCTAAAGATGCCATGGACAAGTATTCTATCACTAATAGATATTTATACTATTGAGCAAAGAACTGTGCCGATATGCTCAGGGCCACATGCTCCAATTTAAACAAAGGCTGCACTTGGATGGTGTACATTGCCATAGAAAGTAGAGGCAGTAGTAAGAAGTGGGTTGTGAAGACATATCATAGTCGCCATACATGCAACCCGGACTAGCAAATACCTAGTGCAACTGCTTCTTGGTTAATGGTTAGTGAAGAATTTTTTCAAGTCTAAGGCTGGAGTGGCTGAGATGAAGGTGGGTGCCATGAGGGAAATAGTGAAGAGAGAATTAAACTGTGATGTTACTCTTGAACAAATGAAAAAGGTGACGTGCACTTTATCGTGAGTGCACTCAAAATAAATCGATACTAACACTTATACGTAGTATAGGTGAAGTAGAGTTCGTATCCACAGGGAAAGGAATAACTTTCTTTTTATATAAATAGTAAGTAAAGGGGGGTTTTGATTTTGAGTGATTTAATTTAATTAAACACGAAGATGAACGAGTTATATGGGATTAAATTCAAGAATAAAAGGGACTTGGTCTTGCTACTTTCCACTTGTTGATATATTTTAGTCGATCATTGTTATATCTATAACTTATCCCCTCTCGAATACTCAATCGAGGAGTATATCCAATTCATCGAGGGTAGTTATTAACAACGACCGTTCATTAATAACCCTTACTATTAATCAAATATAGAACAACGTCGTATACCGATATAATGGTAGCATTTAACCTCTTTAACTCCTAGATGAAATCAATTGAGATTGATAACCTCAACACAACGGTTTCAGTTTAACCAACAAAATTAATCCCTCTTGAGTTTATTAACCACGACCGTGCATTAATAAACCGAAGTTACTTACTTGTGAAACCATCAACGTTTAACCATCGGTTCGTTGATCGTTTCTAGTAATAATCAATGTTGGAACGTTAACTAATCGTCACTTAGCCACCCTCCAACATCAATATAGAATGAGATTAAGGGAAGAATTGATAATCAAGAGGAGAAAGTAAGAAAATAACTCACAACTTTAATAATCAACAAGCTTCAAGAGCAAAACCAAGAAATGGAAGTTTAGCTCCTCATTTGGAGACTAAACATGCTAAAAGAAATATAGAGAAATGCTATTCTAAACTGAGCTTAAGAGTATATAGGAATTGGTGTCTCATTGTGAAGGAAAGAGGGTGTATTTATAGGCTTTTGGGATGGGACTTCGAGTACTCGATCGAGTATATACAAAGTACCCGATCGAGTATGTGTGAAATGCCAGATTCGAGGTATACTCGATCGATTCAGCTTTAAAAATCAAAGGTGTACTCGATCGAGTATATATTCATACTCGGTCGAGTATGCGTAGAAAGTGATATTCGCGCCATACTCGACCGATTTCGGGTTTAAATTCAAAGGTATACTCGATCGAGTATGTCGGTCTACTCGATCGAGTATAGACATTGGATCGTGGTCAAAAATCTTCCCGGCATGTTCCTTTGTCTTCGGATCCGATTTGATTTGAAGTTTCAACCTTATAACCGATCGAGTATAGGTAATACTCGACCGAGTAAAGGTAAAAATCAGGATTTTTCCCTTTTGTCTTGTGATTTGCACCTTCTTTCCACTTTTGGGGTTCACCAACCATCCTTTGAGTGATAATGGACCTGTTTGAGCTCAGAATAATCCTAATCTAAACAATTTACAAGGATTTAACAAACTAAACTATTCCACCAAAAGTGTGTAATTTCCGAAACATTAAACAACCAAAACTAGCTAAAAACATAAACATACACACGGAAATTACAAGTGTATCAACTCCCCCACACTCAGTTCTTTACTCGACCTCGAGTAAAACAGAAACATCCAAACAGTTTAAGAGTTTTCCAAGAGTTCCAACAATGTTACAAAATAACAACACAAAGACCACCAAGGATAAAATATGAGTTTTAATGCTCAAATTACAACTATCATCTTGGGTTTTATGGTCTTCTAGTGTTCATCTTCTCCTCCTCTTCTTTTTCTCTTCTTCTTCTTCCTCCAAGAGATCAAATGAGTTCCTGCACACAGAAAAATATTTCTCTCATATCTCTCATTTTGCCTAGGAGCCTTTTCAGGTTTTCATCCTAGCATCTCTTTACATTTTCCATTCTCCCCACTCACTCATTGTTTTTTTTGTAAGCCTCTTTTGCTTAGATTGCCCATTTTGTTGGGTTTTCAACCTAACTAGCATTTCTTTTCTTTTCTTTTTTATTTTATTATTATTATTATTTTTTTTTAAAGAAGTTCATGCATAGTAAAAGGTAGAAGATAAGATTACATACCCATGATGAGTCTCCTCCCCCACACTTAGTTCGAGCACTGTCCCTAGTGCCCGCCTTCTCCACCGTAGAAGCCGCCTCCAAATCCGCCTCCGAAGCTTCCGTCACCCATATGAGCATCCCCACCGTCATAACCTCCACCCCCGGAGCTAGATCCTCCAAAGTTACCCCATTGAGAGGGGTCATACCAAGAGGGGGGTGGGGGTGGCTGAGCCATAGTATGGAATTGGCCTTGTTGAGCCATGTAAGAGTACATAGGTCCATAGAACCTACGTTGGTCTTCTTCATAACGCCGGTTATCTTCTGTCCTTTGCTCTTCTAGCCTTAGAAATCCAGCCCGTTGTTCTTCCCTATATCGGCCAACTTCTTCGGTTACCTTGTTGAAACCATCAAGGAGTTGTCGGAAATAGTCGGGAGGTGGTTGAACTTGGGGTTGTTCTTCGGGAATGTGGTCATGTAAGGCTTCATCAAGGAGTTATCGTGAGTGCACTCAAAATAAATCGATACTAACACTTATACGTAGTATAGGTGAAGTAGAGTTCGTATCCACAGGGAAAGGAATAACTTTCTTGTTATATAAATAGTAAGTAAAGGGGGGTTTTGATTTTGTGGTTGGTCTTCGGCTTGGGGTTCTTGAAAATGTGGTGGAATGGCATTTGGCAACAAGTAGTGGGGCATATCTCTGTTGTATAGTATTTTGGGGAGGTTTGGGTTGGGTAAGGTAAAGTGCCGGATGGGAGGTGGGTGTATATGCCAATTGCACACGTTATAGGAGTTGTCATACTCATGCATCGTGTGGGAGAAGGATATGCAATTTGCATTGCCTAAAAAGCTAATGTCCATCAAACAATATTCGGGTATAGGGGAGTTGTCCCTAAACCCAAACTTGGAGACCAAGTGCATTATCATCCCGCCCAAAACAATCTTTCCCTTAGCTACACTTTCCTT